ACTCCACAGCTACAGAGACATATCCGTCTACTTTCCCAAAGTATGCCAGGTAGATGCCTCAGCTGTGTCGTGGGAACCTGTCCTCCCATCGAGGTATACAGCATCAACACCCAAAGGACAAGATGGGAATTATGTTGGTTCTCCGATCATCAATAACACACATTTCGAAAACAAACATGTTAAAACTATTCTGGAAGAATGATTGAATCACACGTCTTCCGATTCGCCCATGAGTTCCGAGTCATGACAGATGTCCTAATAACAGGAAATATTCTTCTTCATAAACGGGACCCAAAAGAGAAAAGTAGGAAGGACTATGCTTCACCCTTTCTTCGAGCCGAACCATGATGGTATTTATCAACAGTTATCGTCCCTTAATATGACAACCTAGTACAAGCGCTTGATGGAGATGCACCCTGGCCTTAGTTTTTGCCACTAATCAACAGAAAATGCCTCGACGAGCGCTGGACCCCGCCGCGCCTACTCTGGTATATAACTTTATACCCGTGGAGAGGGATTGCATGAAGGAAAGCGACCTGAATCAAGCCTTGCCAATCAAGCAGGGATATCATGATAAATACCAGACATCTCTGCAACAATTGTATGGGTTCAATGTGCATATCACATATCGATCCTGATGGCGATACCATCCACTCCTTGGGTCGTTTATGCAACGCTCACAAGACAGCAAGAGATGCACTTGATTATAGTGGCGAGTGAAGAAGACATATTCTAATCTTTTGGGATTGTAAGCATTGCTTTTGAACATCAGTTTCAGTGGCCACGAAAGAGAGCATATGGATACAGCGCTTCGCTCTTTTCATGTATCAAAGAGATGGATCGAAGGCCACCTTGGCGGCTGTCATCTATACAAACATTTATATTTATTTGAATCTTGAGTGAATAATCAACATAATCAAGGTTTATCGACTTATTATCTTTCATGATATAGCCGACTTTGATGAGAACTCGACATCGACACTGTACGCACGACTTCCCAAATCAAACACTCACTACTCTTGGTGAGTATCAATCAAAAGATCCTCCGTCACATCCAAGGGAACCAAAGTGCATCTCCGAATTCTTTACATAGAAGCACAATTCGACACATTCTCACCACCGTCTAGATCCTGTTAATATATTATTTGGAGAAATCCACCATCTATGATATATACCACTGGGAGATTATCATTATCGTGTTGAGGTCTAGGGGGTGATGCGGACAAATGACTCCGAAGTTGAGGATATTCATCCCGAATGCTCAATCACTTAACTCCACGTCACTGCTCAACGTTCTCAGATATCCCCAAAGAAGTTATCAATCGCAATGCGTCCAAGCTCCCTGATAGCCTCAAGAAAGCCCAACAGAGATCAAGAGCAGAAATCAAGAAGAAACCGATCATGTTTACCTACTGCTGAGCGGTAACTCGCTCGGTAAACTACTGTATGGAAGTATTTGATACAATGCATGTATATCCATTTTATTCCAATGTGCATGGCTGATGTATCATTTCTACTCTGACACACTGTATCTTCTGGACTAACCATTAGATCATGACACGAGGGATAGGTTATAGAGTGAAACACGCCACCCTATTCCTTGACTGGGGTTAGCATCATGGTCCAATCACCAAAGCCACGAGAAATGAGCTGTGATTCAATGGCAGGATTAACCCACAACGGGATAACTCTGGAGGATCAGATACATGACTCGGATTTCTATACAACATACGGGTTATATTATTGTTGTTGAGATCGAGCCAAGTACCATTCTCACACTTTCCCATAATTATGGTCTTGGTCGTGATCCCACACGTCATGTCTTGCGTTTCGTCTAGGATCGAAATTACCAACCGGTAAAAGATGTCAGACCCATGTCAGGGGACATACAAACATCAGGCATTGAATAACTACAACCTGAAGTACCATACGTTATCATTGAATCTGGCTGGTCGCAGACATATTTTATAGCAAGAAGGTGATACACTCTATATCATCCATAACATTATCTTTCCAATCGGACAAACAAGGACAAGGTGTTAAAGCAAATGAGTTAATAATTCCCAAGCCGATAACCTTCCCCATTTCATGAAAGAAGTCGATGAGAAAGCTGCCCTGCCAAATGACAAGAACAAAACATTATGATCATTCACGTGATGTGTCCACAAATCCACGAGATTAAGATAAGAAACCAGAGAGCTAAAAGCGTCCAGTATGTTTCTTCACAACACACGTTATAAGATCTACAAGCGCAAACCGGGACTAACCCCTACTTCCAGTTACTAAGATAAGCCTGGCGGTTATGAGGTAGTTAGACTGGGAAGACTCATCAGTCTACCAGGAACCTAAGTATCCTCCTCTTCGAGGGTGCTATTATCTATCTTTCTCATGTAATTCCCACCTACTGAATCAAGTATTCTTCCTCCTCTGTGTATCCCCTCCTGTATAGCATAAATGAACTCAATAAAAATGAATCTAGCAATATAAACAAAACAAACCCACATCCCCTAACACCACCCCTCCCCTCTTAACATCCACGCACACACACCGAAAAACAAACAAAGAAGCCCCCTCCGAACCCGATATCAGGGTTACGTTACGGTTCCCTGCATCTGACACATGTCATTCATTTCCTTTCATTTCACATAAAGCCTATATACATTAATACCCACCTACCTACATACCTGCGTAGTTGCCCCGTCCACAACTGCGTTTAATATATTACTCAACCCTCCCAGTGAATGTAACTAATGTGCACAGCCACCGACACACAATCTATCTGAACTATAATCCCTACTCCCTCATCCACTCCTCTGCAGTTGGCAGGTGTCAACCGGATAAACTTAAAAACGGGTTGCCAGCGCATACAAACCGTCTAAGCACAAGGGGAATAGCTGGCTGGCTGACTACTACGCTACGTGCTAGGGTTGGGGCTTACTCAGCGGAGTATATTTTCTACGTAGGTAGCTGCAGTGCAATATCCAACATGACTACTACCTATGTAGCGTAGTAGGTAGGTAACTGACATACATAAGTAGCCTAGTCTAGTCTAGTCTAGTTTAGTCAACTCCAATCAAGTTACTTAGTCACTTCGCTCTACTTCGACCTGATTCGACATATCTACTATCTATCTGACCAGACCGGAAGCTACTTATTAGGTACTTTGTACTAAGATAATTAGCACAATTCACTACCTATCTAGCCAGTTACTGATAAGTAACTAGGCAACCAACTACCTATCCTACAGGAGTCTGCAGTACCCCCCCATCCACGCACAGCTGACAACATACATGACATTATCTCCGACTCGGAAGCACACATCGGCTTTTATCGGGAGTTAGGGGACTCGGGAACTCGGGGAATGGGGAGATATCTACTCTTTGGGTGTTAGTGTTAGTATCTTTGACTGACAGTGGACGGAGTACCGAGTACCGAGTACCGACTGGGGTACATGCAACTCATACTTATCAGAGATAACAAGATAGGGTTGAGGGTGATGGATAGAGAAGGATAGAAGAGGATAGATAACTACGTACATATGGTATTAATAATCAGTTTTATCTGCATAAAGGTATTATGCATAAGGATGAGATTACTGACCCAAGGACGCAATGATCAGCTCGTGAATGACATCAGAACGACTGACTGGCTGGCTGAATGGTTACTGTGTACGGAGTAGTAAATAGAGTAGGTAGGTAGTCATCACGTTATCAGGCCTCTCCACTACATTACACCCCACTCCACTCTCCGGAGAATCCACGGGGAGACCGACTCCATATCTCTTCAGACGCTGTCTCAGTCTTCGTCACTGCACTCAATTGACGGACTACTTTAGTCCAGAGTACCCAGTACCTCTCCGTGGGTGGGGATGGAGGTGGAGGTGGAGGTACTGTGGGTAAAGACAAGTGTGAAGACACCGTAACCCCCACCGACTAACCATCTAGGTACATAGTAGCTGAGACAGACAAACAAACAAACATCCAGACCCAAAATTGGATTCCAATTCTGCACGTCCTCCACAGATAGGACCGGACCGGACCAATTCAACAAACCAAGAAAAACAAACAAAGCGGATGTCCTCCGTCAGAAGTAAAGTGTAGTACAGGAGATGTACCCCTCCCTCTTGGCAACACCCAAAGTACCTCCCAGCATACGCGTACTAATTCCTTCATGCATCGAACCTTTTCCCAACCAAGACATCCTCCCCTGTTCACAGTGTAACCCAAGATCACCGCCAAGCCGAACATATTCCCTCCTGGATGGCGACCAGGGGAGGAGGGGGGGCGGCGCGCCCCCAAGAAAGACGAGGAGGGGGGGCAGGCAACATGTGAAAAGTGCAAACTCACCTCACCTGGTAGGGATATATTAACCTGCAGGCTTGGCAGGCGCTTATCGAGATTAGGTTCGGGGCAAATGAACCCCCTCTTTGGGTAGGGGGAGCGATTGGTCGGGATAAATGGAGGGAATGAGCAGAGTGGAGTCCCACTAATGTATGTGCGTACGTGGGTGTCCGTGTCCTGTCCCTGTTATCGGTGGCGAGAAGGATACCAGTAGACCAAGTAGACCAAGTAGACCAAGGGGATAGCATGAGGATAGATACCAAGGTATACCAAGATACCAAGAGGGATATACTGACCAACATAGAAGATAGTGGGTATACCAGACGGAAGCGGAGCTACCGAGGTATCTGGATTGGCGGAAAGTGGCTTGCCGGACCCCCGCCGGAGCTGCCACCCGCGGGAAGCTACGGGTTCGGCTCGCAGAACCTAACTTGCCTATCATTTCTCCCTACCACAGACACAGACCAGACCACTGTAACCAGTCGATGGACCCTGCACGGTCGGCTGGCCTTTTGGTCGAGACCCGGGATCTACGCGCGGCGAATCCCTCATCCTCACGCCCGGCTGCAGCTCCCATGTCGTAACTGTTTCGGCCCTGCTCGCCACTGAGGGGTCGGCTAAAGACGTGATCCTGCTCCTACCATCCCCGCGGAAGTGGATTTCCGATCTCGGTCATGTCATCAATTGTAGTCTAACCACCAACTTCTAATCTAAAGGCAAATATGACAATACACCCTTGCAAACACCGTGGCAAGGGAATCAGGGTATTAGGAAACAGAAAAGGAAACAAAAGAAATACATCACATCATCACAGTACAGGCCCCATCCTAGCTATATGACGCCCCATTGAGCTTGGCACACGCCAGAATCATTCGCGTGATGGGAAGCAATAACGTAACACTAACGCTGCCAACCTCCTCTAGCACCAACAATTGCTGCAGGGTCCGCGGAGCTGGCAGCATGCCGCCATCCAGGCCCCGCGTCCATGACCGTAGCGTCTGGGCGCGGGAAATCATCCACTCCCCCTCACTGCGTGCTCGCCACATCTCCTCCGGTGCCGGCAACGGCAGCTGCAGAAGGATCGCACTGTCCAGCGGGTCAATGTAGGCCCCGTTGAATCGTCGCGCTTTGCCTGCCAACGTGCCAATGATGTTGGCGAAGAAGATGTTCCGTCGCAGCGACTCGGTAAATTTCCATCGCTTCCAATCCGTTTCATCCTCGTGTGGCGTGCGGAGGATGTCTTCATGAAGTTTGTACACGCGCTGAATCATCTACCAAACGGGTCAGCCGGGTCCTGATGTTAGGGAAGGATTAACGTACCCGTAAGAGAAATGAAACCGGAGCCTCGGCCTGTCCATCCTCAGCCGGGTTTGGCAGCTTACCCATGCCGGCCACGGGGAAATTGTCGCCGAAAATGCTCAGGATCTGATTGACGCACACCCCATGCAGGGCCACTACGCAGCCCTCGGCCGCTGCCAGACGGTCCTCAGTGTGCATGGTGAGGTCAAACGTATCACACGACTCCATGTAAGAAGCATAGGACGATATAGAGCTGAGGGTAGTGCTCAAAGGCTCCCCCATCGATTGCATCGCATACCCCTGCAGTTGGTGATGTAGAAAAGGCGAGCAGAACTGTCGTTGCAGAGTGAGCCCCGGGTATTCTCGTAACAGGCTAAACAGCTCTTGATAGAGATCGCTAATGTCGCCTGGGGTGTGGTGGCTGGTCTTGGGTAGGAAGCTTTGACCAAACGCTGACCCGGTTCGGCTAACCGAGTATGTGCTGAGCCGCCATGGATCATCCTCCTCGTCGTTAGGAGCCATGCCATCCGTCCAGATATTATCGAAGTAGCCCGCCGATAGCGACGACAGGTTCAGTCCGCGCGCCGCAGTGTACGAGTCGCCCGGAAGACCCGCTGGGGTCGGGGGTACCATGGTCACCGGGGAAGACCCCATCGTCCCGTGCGGGGGCATGTAGAGCATCTGAGAAGAGTGGCTGGAGCAAGTGTCGAGAGACCCGGGAAAGTAGTCCTCAAGGCCAAAGGTCTCGGGCTGTTCATGAAAGTCGTCATTCCAGGGTGGTGAGTGGATCATCGAGACATCCTGCATCGGAAACATTGTACTGTCGTTCACGCCATGAATGGCAAAGTCGGCGTGCGACGGGGTGTCCGGACTCCAGGAGCCCGGGATCTCGTTCAGTTCATCGCAGGTGGAGGAGGGGTCGAAAGGGTAGACCGGCAGGGGCCATGGCGTACCACCGGGAATCAGGCCCGCACAGGCCGGAACCGCGTGGAGAGACCCCGCGGACGAATCAAGAGCCTCCGGAGGGTCTTCGAGAGTGGCTCCTTGAACAGGAACAGACGACTGTGGATAAACGCAAGGCCGTCGGCTTTGCAGACACCGGCTACAGGATGGCCGGGTCATGGAGCACCGCAACTTCTTTTGCGCACAGGCGTCGCAGGATTTGCGCTTGGACTGGCGTTCCTGGCCGATGTTTTTAATACAACGGCGGCGATGGCGGTCCCGCAGATCACCTATTGTCCGGTTAACCACAGGTGTGCACAACGCAGCCGTGTTCCCAACACATGGGTCAATCTTGTGTGACCAAAGAAAAGGGCAGCCTACGTCGACTGTACGTCTTGTTGCAGATGCCGCAACGGTATTCCCCATCGGCTGTGGGTTGCGATGGGGGAGGCGGCAACGATTGACTGTTGGTTGCACCTGACTTCTTGGACTCTGTTACAGCGATGCGAGCCCTTCCTGATGAGGGCTCAACGTCCATGGGCATTTGATCACCCGACGAGACGGTCATGGCGGGCATTGCGTTCTAGCCACACGCAGGACAATAGGACAGTAATTAGAAGAGATGTGTCAAAGGGAATGGGGAACGAAGAAAAAATGTCGTGGGTCAGATGGGAGGAGCATGAGATATAATTATGCCACGCGGAGCAAATATAGAACCAGAGAAAGAAAAGACACCGAGGGGACCGAGTCGATAAGTACAACATCCGGGCCACCCATTTCGGATCCGGGGCGACTGTTGAGGGGAAAGACCATCGGCCAGATTAGTCAAGGCTCGCCCAAACTGCCCTAACGATCGATCGGGACACAACTGGAAGGATCCTGATCCTTTTCTCGCACATCTGACCCGACTCGAGGGCGGTTGAATACACCCCGTTCTGGGTGCAGAGCGCGGAAAACCCCCGAAACCGTAGCTTGTAGCTTGGAAATCGTTTTATTGGCATGGGGGGCATTTGTTAAGATTCGCCCGCCCTAGTTCCTGCTGAGATAGGTGCGCAGCAAATGGGGGAGGCCGTCTCCTGCATGGCTTAATCTGATGTTGCCCTGCATCCCTGATATTATTCTGGCCCGTGGTGGGTGCACCACCAATTAGGGGACGCGAGCCTCGTCCTCGGCTCCTGGTCCCTCGATAGGATATGAATGTCTTGGAATCGATCTCCCGCTGACAATCCAGAACGCGACGCCACGCCAGGCGGCGATCACCCAAGCCCAAGCCATCCGCGTTAGCCAAGATATCGAATGCGCAGTTCAGCCATTCATGAGTCCGCCACGGTCGCCGCCTGGGCCGGATTGATCATTGTGCTGCATTGCATTTCCTGTTCGGATGTAACCGCGGAGGGCCACGTCCTTTTGCAGGTCGGCGTAATTCCACGGCCACCGGGGCTGGTTGCACACAGTCCACGCTTATTAACGGGTTTAGCGCTCCCACCCGGATCCCATTTGCCCTGATGATTGGCAATCCCGCTGTCCCGTATTCCCTCGCCACACTCTAATTTGCTGGGCGTTTGCTAGTCGGGCCCTCTTTTGCAGTTATCTCACTGGCTATCGTTGGCTAGCCTAGCATATCAGGAGTTACCCCCTCCCCTTTACGATATTGGTTGCAGGCTAAAATGGAGACTGCCCATCCTGTATCTAGCACGTTGGCAGCGGAATGGCCCGCAAGTTAGCGTTGTCGCAGGATGACCGCACTAAATTGTAGGAAACGCTCCCTCCCCCCACCCACCCACCGACGAATTCTGCAATGGTGAATCCAGACTCCGGAGCCCATCAATTCCTGAAGGAAACGTGGTTCCTGGGGCCGGTAAATTCACACGAGCACCGCGCGTGCCACAGTGGACCGGACCTTTACTGGAAATAGATTCTTAGTCGACGGCGCGGATATTGCGCGATGCATCCGCCTTGGTCAGACTCCAGCGTAATCCACAGATACGAGGCCGATCCTGGGCCATTGAATACGAATTAGCCAATTTCCTGATTCGATCACGTATGTCGGGGGTCCCTGATGTTATCCGTGGAGTAACTAGTCAAAGGGTATCTTTCCCCGTCGCAGCAGCAGGGACAGCTGCGTCGGACATGATGCAAATATGTACTAGTGGTGTCGTTGGCGCCTTTGCTGCAGATGTACTTTATTAAACCCGGTGCAAGATAAAGAAGGAGGGGTGCAGGCCGATAAGGGGGGAGGATGGGGGATGGAGACTGCAACGTACTCCGCTGGGCCCCGATGCATGGACCATGAAGGCCGGCATCCATCCCCCAACACCCATCCTTTTCTGGGATCCGGCGGAGTCTCCACGCGATTAACACCTCCGTGACTCGGGTTAGCGGCGGCGAATTCCCGACCCTCATACCCGGAGCCTCAGGAGGGTATACCACGAGTCATGTAGACCGTCAGCTAAGAACTCGGAATCCCGGCAATGGAAAATAGAATATGACGTTCACTGATCACTCACGCGACGTCGATCTTCAGACTCGATTTGGTTAGCGGGATTGCCAGCTGATTCTGGGGGCCAAACTTAGCAGGTGGACTGGTGGAGGGTAATACGAACCCTCGTGGAATGACCTGATGGCTGATGCCAATGTGGCGGACTGACGGCGGATCAGGGGGAAGGGAAGGGGGGGCAAGGGGGGGAAACTGGGAAGGAGGAAATGATCATCTCTGGTGGAGTGAGTACCTCGAGAAGGAAATGGAGGGCTGGCTGCAAGGGAAGTGGAAGAAGGGGATTGGATTGGATTGAGGTGAATAGTGGGAAGGGAGGGAAGTACGACATTGTCGCTGGCGCCGGGATCATCTGACCACGCCCATACGCCCATTGGTCTCTGCGGAAAGTGAAACGCCTCGTTCTGCACCGGCGCCGACCAAGATGCCACACCTGCACCGCTTCCATGTTCAAACCGCCTGCGAAGAGCCCAGCGCGGAACAAATCGAAGCTCATCGAAGGCTTCGTGAATCTGGTGGCCACCAGATCAGCCAGCCTATCCTTCCAGGGCTACACCCCTCTCGTGATGCTGGACTGTGCCGTCCAAGTCCCCTCCAGCCAGCCGATCTTTCCCTTTCTGACTGAACTTCCAGAAGTTGGCTGACAACTTGCCCGTTTTCTAGGTTCTATAGGCGCCGCCACCGTACAGTCAGCCTTACGGCTGGACGATCCATAAGCTGACTCCGTAACACCCGCTGGAACACGAAGTCCACGTCCCAATTCCCATCTACTTCGGGTGTCTACCAAGAAGTTGAAATGCCCTGCTGGCAGGCTCGGGGGGAAGCAATGCGCGTCATGCAGTAGCACTGTCGTAGCGCCGCATGCGCCTATATGCCGAGCAGAATGTTATCAGCTGGGACAGTGACAGCCGTCAACCGGAGTCCGCACTTTGTCCTACCTGCTTGCCGCTCCACCTGGAGCCGGGGTCAGAGTCGGCAACTTGCGGTTCCGTTTAAAGTATCCCTATTTTAGCAGCAAGACACAATAGACATCTCGGGTGTCTCGCGTGGCTGCAGGGGAGACATATTTGTTTCTGCACAGCCCCAGGGACGACACCGGAGAAAATGCAGGGGCGGTCGCCCTTCACCACGGTGCCTCTTGAAGATTACTGCCTACGGGGGGGCTGTACGCTCGGCATATCCGAGCGTTGTCGAGGGGTGGATCAGCCGTGCCCAGAAGGACGTTCATGCGACTACAGCGTCCTTGCAACCTCGAGCAAACAATGATCACCCCGACGCAAGATATCGTGATGGTGAATATCAAACTGATCATATCTGTCCACCAACCATCCTGATTCAGGTTCTCGCGCTACTGTAAGTCCTTGCTAGGAGCACACCACATTAAGATAACAATCAAACGGCCCCTGTAGCCGGAGCTCGGAGCAAGCCTACCGTCTAATTTACTCAATCTGGCAAGGCTAGGGATAGTGTTGACTTGCTGCTCTAGCCATAACCTATTCTTCCATCTGAGCCCTCGCGGGCTCGGAAGCCGCGGGCAATTTGAACATGCTACGGAATATATGCTATACAATCAAAGGATTTGAGTTTAAGTCTGACCTCGAAAACAGTGTCAGAACTCAGAAGAATGACTTTCAGAATGCGAATCAGCCAGTTATAGTACCCACCCTGGTGTTCGGAAGCCAAGCATTGGTGCCTCCTGGGCGCTTCTGCACTCTGCGGGCCTCTCGGCGCTCAAGGCTTGTCTCGCATGGATAACGAACACCACAAGACTCCGTACTCCGTGCTCTTTCCCGCGCGGATCGTCGCAGGCTTCGCATTATTGCTTGCGGGACACTGCTGGACTTGAGATGGTTCCAGACGCTGCTCAGCCACTGCTACTATTAAGACCATCCACCGAGTGGCTACAAATCTGCACAAAACGGAGTCCGAATAACGTCCGGCTGACAGGCAACCCCCGGATGAGGAAGGCCACTCCAGACAAGTCGATACGGGGTGCTGTTAATTGATAATTCTGTCAGTCATCCTGCAAAATATTACGACACCGCGTCCCCCTAATCCAGACCCACCGGCTAAAATATGACCACAGCAGCGTCGGCCAGTCATCTCGACCTGAGAAGTTGGTGGCGTTTTCGCAAACATCCCAGCATGCACTAGTCCTTAGTCGATTAGGCATTCTTTATTCATCACTTCTCGTTGTGTCGCTGAAGATACTTTGGGTCTAGACTCCAATCACGACGTAGCTTCCATAGGGCAGGCAGATCGATACTGCCAGCAGACTAGCTCACCAGTTGACTGCATCCCGGCCCGTCAATCCACTTCTGTGGCCTACAAATCATCCTCTTATCGCGGCAAGACATGTCCTGCTCCGATATTGCATCGCGACCGTTGTGAACGGGATAGCTTCCTGTTTGACCGGGCGGGTTGGGGATCGTCTGCCGCGGAGGAACCCCGGTGAATTTCGCAAACCTGAAGCCTTCCGAACGCTAACCCACGCAGCATACTCTTGGCGTCTTGCTGGACTGTGCGACCTCGCGACGTATTCTTCTTTTCCTGGGGAGATTCATCAGCCCGTGGCCTCAGACGTCTTGTTCGATAGAGGCTGAGATAGACAATGTATAGTGCCCGTCGGACCCTAAATGTGAAGCCGTGAAAGACCCTGCGTCGACCAGGGGGCTGCAAGACGGCTTGAGATTTCGTAACCTCGCAGTCTCCCAATCTATCTACCTCCTCTTTGGTGTGGGGATCCTTGCAAGATACTGTACCACCTTGGATATTGCTTATCGGGAATGCCGCAGGCATCCATCTTTTGCCTCCCTGCACCGAGACCCTCTTCTCTGCATGTTCAGGGATGGTCTGAATTAGACTGTAAGGTATACGTCAACATCGCTCATGGCCTTGCTGCTTGCTGCTCGGAGCAATGGAGATCAAGCTGGAAGAACACGCTCCTAGATCGGAACAAAGGAAAAACATGGTCGAGATGCGACCGAGGGAAAGCCTCGAGCCGAACACGATTTTGATTGAGGCCATCCCTGTCCTCAGACTATGACTGATTGAGACCAACCAGGCAGATCGACCAGATGCGCATGCCAAGGGATGCCTGTCCCACATTATTAATAACGATTTGCATAACTACCCTCATAAACTGGATAAAACTTTCGCGTAACAACAGACTCAATCGTGGATTGGCGGTCGAGAGAGCTTCCAAGTCCATCCCATGCACTGCTCGGACGATTCACTGTTGGCCCAATTCAATGTAGGATTTCAATCAAGACCAATGTGACTCTCATAAAGCCCCCCCCCAGGTGCCATTGCACCATGGCTGCCTCTCTTCCTAGCTTTCTTCCGCATTATCCTACTGTCACGGTCTAGGATGTCGCTGCACTCGAGTACAACTGATGTGGAAAAGCAGGCAGGGAGGGAGCAGGCCTCGCAAGTGCACGAATTGAATAGATCACAGGTCTCTGGGCTGGCTAAAAGGAACGATGCTGTCACGGTCGATTGGGACGGTCCTGACGACCCAGAAAATCCCCTAAATTGGCCCACGGGCAAGAAAGCTCGTCAATTGGTCCTGTTGTCCTGTAACACATTCATAACGTGAGTCTATCTGTCCAGCACAGTCTGAGCCAGCTAACCAAGCAAGACCCCTGGCGTCGTCCATGTTTGCACCAGGGCTCAGGGGCGTCATGTCCGACTTCCATACCACGAATGACATGCTGGGCTCCTTCGTCGTGACCGTCTTTGTCTTGGGGTACATGGTCGGCCCGTTTGTGGTTGCGCCGTTGTCCGAGATCTACGGTCGCGTCCCGGTCTACCACGTCTGCAATGTTTTGTTCCTTGTCTTCACCGTTGCATGCGCCGTTGCGCAGACCCTACCGCAGCTGATCGTCTTCCGCCTGCTGGCCGGTGTTGGTGGCGTCTGTCCGCTGACGATCGGATCGGGTACTGTCGCGGATATGGTGCCCCTGGAAAAGCGCGCAGGCATCATGTCTATATGGGCGCTGGGACCAATCCTAGGACCGGTGGTCGGCCCAGTTGCAGGCGGGTTTCTTTCCGAGGCCGAGGGTTGGCGATGGGTGTTCTGGGTGATTGCTATTGCTGTAAGCACACTTCACCGGCGTGTCGGGGAGAAAGGCTAACACTTGTAGACCGGTGTCATCACGATCGGATGTATCTTCTACTACCACGAATCGTATGCCCCGGTGCTATTGGAACGCAAGGCTACCCGGCTACGCAAAGAGACGGGCAACTCAAATTTGCAGTCCAAATACTACACCGGTCCATTCACGACACAATCATACCTGAACACATTGGCCCGACCGATGAAGCTCCTGGCATTCTCGCCCATCGTTCTGATGCTGTCGTTGTTCGCCGCCATCACATACGGCTATCTGTATCTGATGTTTACAACCATCCCGCCGATCTTCAAGAACGCCTACGGGTGGTCCACCGGGGTGGCCGGTCTGTCATACCTGGGCTTTGGGATCGGGAGCGTCACCGGCCTGGTGTCGTATGGCGTAGTGTCCAACCGGCTTGCCGTCCAGCACACGGCGCGCGGCACATTCACGCCCGAGTGTCGTCTGCCGCCCATGGCAGTGGGCTGCTGGTTCGTCCCCATCGGCCTGTTTTGGTACGGATGGGCCGCGCAAGCCCACACACACTGGATCGTGCCCATCATCGGGACCGGGGTGTTCGCGCTGGGGCTGATGACGGTGTTCATCGCGACCAACGCGTATCTGGTGGAAGCGTATCTGAAGGAAGCGGCATCGGTGACGGCAGCCAGCACGGTGCTGCGGTCGCTGGTGGGAGCAGTGCTGCCACTGGGCGGCCCAGCCATGTATGATAGGCTCGGGGTGGGCTGGGGCAATTCGCTGCTGGCATTTATGGCGCTGGCTCTGTGCGTGTGCCCGGGCCTGTTCTGGCGGTATGGGGAACGGATCCGGACGCATCCTCGGTTCCAGCTTCGGCTCTGATCGGTGATGAGCAATGCGCCGGAGCCACTATCTGCCAGCCCACGGCCGTTGGTAAGCTTCGCGGCCTCGCCGAGCTCCATCATTGGCCTGCTCGCTGCATCCCAGCGGGTCAGCCGGGCTGCCTGTTCTTATGGTTATCAGCCAGCCTCACAGCCCATTGGTCTCCACGCCCTATTCCAAACGGCGCGGCGACACTAAAAATCTGTGCCCACCCCCGACCGGTCTTCCTCCCCGCTGATTCCTGGATATTCTCCGACCCGCAGCTGCCCTGGCTTTTTCCTTGTCAGTTGTCCTATCGCCAACAATGTCTTTGTCTACCAGGGCGGGGGGTTATAGACATACACTCCCTGACACACCATGCCATCCATGCATCGCACGGCCCATGGCCGGGTCGGGTCCGCCTGACATGCCATGCCATGCCATGCCGTCCGTCCATACAGACAATCCAATCCAAAAAAAAAAAAAACCCCCTATTTAAACATCCTGACTCGTACGCCCCGATAAAGCTATAAGATAGTAGTACGCCCGTCATCATGCGTCTGGCAAGTCCCTGCATCCTTGTCTCCTCGCATCCCCCCTTGTCCTCTCTTCCCTGTCCCTCCCAGCATGATTTTCGAACCTGCTGCCAGGGCCCCCGTGCCTTGCTTCGATGTCATCTCGTATATCTTCTCCGACCCGCCCTACAATCATGATGAACCGGTACTGCCCCGTCTTCATACATACCCTTGCTTACATGCCCTAGAATGTCTTCTCTAACGGACATACCTAGATCTACATTGACGTCCACAATCCCACCCGCTCCATCTCCTACAATCAAGCTCGAAGCATTATTCGCCAACTCATCGCGGGATTGCGCGCCTGGGGCGTGAAAGAAGGTGACTGCGTCGCTATTCACTCTTTCAATGATGTATTTCTACCTTCCCCTGTCCAATGTGCGTCGAAGGTAATGATCTAATGGACTGATCGACAGATCTACTACACCATGCTAGTCCTGGCCATTGTTGGCGCAGGAGGCATCTTCACGGGCTCGAACCCATCCTATACAGCTCTCGAACTCAGTCATCATTTCCGATCCTCGGCTACGAACTTTATCATTACGGAGCCGGAGCTTTTAGGTCCGATTACGGTGGCCGCGAAAGAAGTGTCGATCCCGGCAGATCGAATTCGGGTATTTGATATCCTGGGCCAGTCGATACCAAAGGGCACGGTGTCGTGGACGGAGTTGCTCACTTATGGTGAGGAGGACTGGGTAAGGTTTGATGATGAGGCGATTTCCAGGACAACTACGGCTGCAAGATTGTTTAGTAGTGGGACGACGGGGCTTCCCAAGGCGGCGAATATCACGCATATGAACCTTGTGGCGGAACATGAGCTCGTGTTTGAGTTGAATCCCAGGCCGTGGCGGGTACGTACCTTAGATCTTTATGTCGTCGGATTCATCTTTGGAAGGCTATGTGCTGAGATTGAATCAAGGTAAGCAGGGTTGTGCCTATGCCCCTCTTCCACGCCGCTTCCGCTCCGAGTAGCCACTTTGGCAGTCTGAAAGCCGGCCACATCAATTATGTTATGCGACGCTTCGACCTGACCCTTTTTCTGGAAACAATGGAGAAGTACAAGATTACGGAGATAGCTGTCGTCCCGCCCATTGCTATAGCCATCATCATGCATCCCATGTCCTACGAGCGGGGCTATCTGCGATCAGTCCGCGCGAGTAACCTGGGCGCGGCACCGATGGATAGAAACGCCCAGAAACGGTTCCAGGACTTGCTTGGACCAGGCGCATACTGTACGCAGGTCTGGGGTATGACGGAGACGTGTTCTATCGCGACGATGCTTCGATGGGATGAAGAGGATGAGACGGGCTCGGTGGGGAGGTTGGTGCCGAATTTGGAAGCCAAGTATGTTCCATCTCTTTGTTTCTTTGTGCGGGACTAATGGGGAATGGGGTATGTAGATTGGTTGATGACGCCGGCACCGACATCTCCGACTACGGCGTGCGAGGTGAGCTCTGCGTCCGCGGACCAACGGTCACTCCAGGGTATTTCAATAACCCGGCTGCCAACGCGGAATCCGTTGACGCAGATGGCTGGTTCCACACGGGGGATATCGCGTATTGTGATGGCGCAACGAAGAAATGGTACATCGTAGACCGAAAGAAGGAGCTCATCAAGGTACGGGGGTTCCAGGTCGCCCCGCCGGAACTAGAGGCTGTTCTGTTGGCGCATCCGCTCATTGTAGATGTCGCTGTCATTGGGCTGCGAGATGTGGTGCCCGGGACGGAACTGCCACGAGCGTATGTGGTTAGACGACCCGGGACGGAGGAGCGGATGTTGACAGAGGAAATGGTTAAGAAATGGTTGGGGGAGAGGTTGGCGAAATATAAGGCACTCACAGGAGGAGTCAAGTTCGTCGATGCAATACCGAAAACGGCGAGTGGCAAGATCTTGAAGAGGGTGTTGAGGGAGGAGAGTCGAAGAGAGGTCAAGGAGGCTAGGGGGAGGCCAAGGTTGTAGTTTTCTTTGTGCTCTGGTTTTGACGGTTTCCTGTCGATTTCGCTTATTGTCTATATCTTGTAGTTAGTACATACCCAATACCCCATACCCTACCTTCTCGGTGACTGTTTAACCTCACTTTTGGATCTGAGACTGATTGTGGTACGCATCGCCAGTTTCCATGTTGGGTGAAACATACTTTGGTAGATCCAGGTCTTCTACTGGTCCTGTCGCTGCGTTTCGATGGTTGAGTCGGACAGATTCATCCTTGTCATACCGGATTGACATCATGACCCTAGATCCGCGATCCTCCGACCCCGCCTGACCTCCAGAACGGGCGCAAGGCCATCAGGTGCAATACGAGAGTCGGCTTTGTCATGCTTGCTTTTGCGCGGCTGACTTAGTAAACTCCGTCGGTCTGCACATCGGGCACCTGTGTGGACTTTCTCTCGTGGATAACTTTCCAGATCAAGCCTCCAAGATGGTGTTTGGCCATGCTATGCTAGCTGTCCTAGTGGCCTTGGTAGTCATTACTTTCAGGCTGTTGTCTCACGGTAAACATCTATCGGTATCAAGATCGTCGTCATCAGAGGAAAACCTCGGAAAACTCGCTCCCAATGACACACAGCACATACAGAAGGTCCTCCGCGAAGGTATTATCCTTGCCGGAGGCGCAGCTGCTATCCTTCTACAGCTTGCCATGCCGGGAATTGGTAAAGCCATCGACATCCATAGCAACTTTTCCTACCGGCCGCTTGACCGGCTGCGCACGACGATGACTTTCATCTACTGCATGGCCTTTGGTACTCCACAGGAGAAACGGATTGTCGTGGATATGGTCCACCGCGCCCATGCTCCGGTCAAGGGAGCCGGCTACTCGGCCGACGACGTGCGCCTCCAACTCTGGGTTGCAGCATCGCTCTATGCCATTGATATCAGTTTGTATGAGGATACTTTCGGATGGATGGACGAGGCGGCCGCGGAAGCCGTGTATCGCGAGTACGCCGTGTTTGCAACATCATTGCGCGTACCCGTGGAGATGTGGCCGGTCAATCGCAAGGCATTCTGGGCTTACTGGGACCAGCAGATCGAACAGGTGGAGGTCACCCCAGAGGCGAAAGGTGTGGCGCATGATATGCTATATAACAAGAGGCTTCCATTGCACATGAAGATACTTATGCCATCTGTCAGGCTGATTACGGCGGAGTTGCTTCCCCAACGGGTCGGAGAGGCATATGGTCTCAAGCGCACGAGGCTGGGGAGGGTGGCCTTGGGAGTAATGAAAGCGACTTATTCTTTGATCCCGACATATATCCGGACGTATCCAATGGCGTATTATCTGAAGGATATGCGGAGGCGGATAGAACGACGGTCTGATCGACGGTGATCTGCAGTACTATTTGTGTGCCATGTTAGACTGCTCTTCGAAAAGTCCTAGGTGAATCCTTGCCTAGAGTGGAATATAATGGATAAGATTCGATGGTACTGCACAGAAGCGACTTGACTTTACCTTCGTCTAGGGTTGACGATCCAAGTCGAGTTTATAGGGAGCTTTCGAATAAGCAGGCTAAGGTAAGTGACGCGTTTGGTGCGATTCAGTTGTTCCCTTAAATCACGTTGGAACGCGACCGTAGACACTGACGCCATTAGCAGGTGGTGCACCAAGCTTCCACTGCTTCACCTCGCGATGAATGTGTCTGGACTCAGCCAGAGGTGCCTGGCGCTTGGCTAATCGTCGATGTCATGGTGGACCAGCACCCCGTATCCTATAGAAACCAGTAGTATCCTATAGACTCGAGGCTCAGGTCAGTATATCGTGCACAGTATTGTAGGATCACGGTCCCAGGACAAACAAAAAGGGCCCGAAAACATGCACAACCATGTATACGCTGTCAACAAGGGAAGATTGCTACCAGGTCCATCCGTGCCGAAACATGTTCTTGAGGAAGCAGAGCTCGGAGGTATGCATCTACAGGCCGAAGAGAGCGAGAGTTGTAAGAGATGGTTGGGGGTTTGCTAGGTTTGTTGTGTTTGTCAGATGCCCCCATGCCAAAGGAGGCAGGTCCATATTACTGGATGAACTTTGGGCATTGAATTAGACCGTTGGGATACTACTGACTTGTATCCCTTGGTACTTCATTCCATTTAGGTACTTCGCTCTGAGTCTATCAATCTACATCATCCCAGAGCCACGGCAATCACGAACATTTCCTGTCTCTCACGTTTGTTTCAATGTTGGAATTTATTCCGAAGTTCTTGTCAGAAGAGGTAAAATCTTCAGTTAATCACCTATCCCTCTACCGGAGGGCGAGCCTTTCTACATACAAACAGCTACTGATATCACTGCTATCCAGACATCCCAGACGAGCCACGCCAGCCATCGTATAATATTGGACAAGGCAATGGCATCACATCCGGACTACTCCGGATTGTCGGATCGTTCCGAGCACCCCCGGATATTTCCGATGCCGGGCCATTCCCGCGCATCTCCACATCCATAAACCAGATTTGGCTATCAACCTCCAACTCCATCCCAACACACAACAATGGCTCCATCCATACCCCAGATAAGCAGGTCCTTGCATAGTGCAGCTCGCAACTCCCCGATCGTCGCAGTCCTCTATCAGGCCATCGAGCCACCCATCATCAACGGCGCTCGCAAGCCCCGCAAGCCTGGCGGTATCGACCCCACCCCTGACATCTCGGAAACTCGTACTAACTAGACACCAGGCTACCAAGACTCGGGCGCAGACATCGCATATACGCTTCGTAACCACGGTGTCCGCGTTCTTACCCCAGCAACTTCCCCTGACCCCAAAGAGCAAGAAGGCTGGTGTTTCCCCGATACAGAGAAAGGGATCCTGTCCGCTGTGCACCAAGGCGCAACGCACCTGTGGGCCAACACCATCCTGTTCTCTTCACACCCGCTGCAAATTTCCCAGTCTCTAGCCTCAGCTCCCGTCTCTGTAGTTGGTCAGCCGCCTTCCCTAGTTGAGTCCTTCGATGACAAAGCCTACCTCAACGACCAACTCCGAATCCATGGCTCATTCACCCTCCCACAATCATGGCTCATCCGCGGCTCGGATGATATCTCCTCTATCCTAAACTCAATTCCTCGCTATCCTGTAGTCGGGAAGCCCGTCCGCGGCCGCGGCAGCCATGGAGTAAGGGTATGTCATGATCGAGCAGATCTTGAAGAACATGTCACAGCCCTGCTGAACGAGTCACCCATCGTCATGGTGGAGGAGTTCCTTACTGGCGAAGAGGCAACCATCACAATTATGCCGCCATCAACTGAGAAAGGAGAACACTGGAGTCTTCCTCCGATCACGCGATTCAACCATGTCGATGGGGTCGCGCCGTATAATGGTGCCGTGGCAGTGATTGCGAACTCGCGCGCGGTCACCGAGTCCGAAATGCAGGATGCGTCGTACAGAAGTGCAATGCGGCAGTGCGAACAGGTCGCGAAACTGATTGGCGCAACAGCCCCGATTCGTGTTGATGTTAGACGATTCAGCGCGGGGTCCGAGTTCGCCATCTTCGATATCAACATGAAACCGGTACGTTCTCGCCTCCGTCTCCTGGACGTACAGGGACTGATATGTGGTAGAACATGACCGGCCCTGGTCGCCCTGGTCGTGAAGACCAGGCCAGTCTTACCGGTCTCGCGGCCGCAGCTATCGGGTGGGACTATGGAACGTTGTTGCACAAGATTCTCGACAGTGCGCAGCCGGTAGATCGCTTCCGGGCTTACAGGAACCCGTTTGCTTCGCACTGATCAAGTATCTCCTTCATCTATCGTCTCAGTCCAGCATGTTATACCTAGATAGTCCGTCGACTATTCCTCAACAGCAACCATCTTCCCCTCCTCTTCCCTCCACCGATAAACCACCCCATCGCCCACATTATACCGATAATAGTTGCCCGTGCCCCCAGGCACCACCGCTCTACGAAAGGTAATATTGATCCGGCCCATGACACCAGCAGCACCACCACCGTGCGTCCCCTTACGCTTAGGCACACTATGCAACCAATTCGCCTGCGTGTCGCCCCGCATAACCAACATATCACCCGAGGCGAGGGGAAACTTGAGGGGTTTCCCGGCCCCGTTTCCAACCTCCCCAGTAGCACCCACTTTATGCTTCAAGAGGAAAGCTCTCCTCTCGCCAAGCGATATGGACGCAATAGTCGGTCTGGGCCCCAGAAACCGTTCATCATCCGAGTGATACGAGATACTATCCTCGCCCGAAGCGTAGTAATTCACCAAGACGAAGTTGTATTTCGTCCCGTCATCGGTGGCCGCCTCGACCGCTTGGCGGAGGACATCTAGACAGGGCGGGATGGGTCGAGGTTGATGGGGGTGATATTTCTTATCGTCGCTGAGAGGGGCATGGGTTTTACTATCGACCAATATTCGAGATTTGGCTGAGCGTTGGGAGTCATCTTCCGTGGTAGAATCAGGAATGAACGTTGAGGTATCGTCCACGCCAAAAACGGTTGTGAATCTTGGCGTGTTGATGGAGGTGGGTGTGCCACCGCGGCGGATGGTGTATTTCACTCGGTAAAAGGGGAGTTCGGCTCGAAGGAATTGGAACAGTTCACGCGCGAGGGGAGCGGGGAGAAATGGTTGAAAGTAGAGGAGGTCCAAGTGGGGTTGGTTGGTTATGGCTTTGGGGGTACATGGGGGTGGATTGGATAGACGCGTGGAGATGGTGCTCGGAGGGTCGCGGATCGGGATGGGATAGCTGGGGTGGTGGGTGTAGGTTGCTGGGGCGGCAGCTGGGATTGCAGCATCGACTTTGGGTTTCTTGGACGGAAGAGGTTGGAAGAAGGAGCTGATTCGTTTGGACATGCTGGGATGAATGGGTGGTTGGGTGGCGGATTGAACAGTAGTGGGAACTTAGGGAGATGAAGGAGACGCTGTTCGTCGCGGTCTGGAAGGAGGCCAAAGTTAAGCTTATCTTTAGTCGGGGTGGATGATGTCACCGGTAATGGGGATAGAGTAGTGGGTCTCAGATAGACTTCATCTCAAAAGTGGTAGACAGTTGAGGTTATTTGCTCACGGGGAGTCTAGATCGACGGCTATCCCTGGATCGGTTATGTGGATACGTTACCATATCCCTGGATCATGATTCCGGACATGCGGTCGGATGATTGCGGTGGTGTGGTTGCTGGTGGCCTTGGAGCACGTTTCCATTGCTCTACACAGTATGCGGGATTGTCTTCTCCAGCCACCAACTGTGGAGCAAGTGATCAGCCATCTCCGTGTTCAATCTAGTTGCATGGCTACGTTCCCTCCGTAGGAAAAATATAACAAAGTTATATTGATGCTATGCTGCAATCTGCAAGGCATTAAACTAACATGACTCAAAGATAAACCCAGACAATTACGCGCCATCCCTAACCTCATGGCTGTCGTGCATTATCTTCCGAACAGTCTTACGTGGTCCAGCCAGCATCACTCATAGGAAGCATTCCCATCTCCAACACCCTCATCCGCCTTTCTCTTCGTCCCCGTCCCCGTTCCCCCAACTTTCCCAAACATACCATCAAGCTTTTTCTGCCCCTTCTCCCTCTTCTCAACCCTGACCTTCTCCGACGCCAGCACTGGAGGCAGCCCCCGAACCCGCTGTTTCGCATCCTCCAACAACTCGACCTCCCGATCCCGCTGCTTCCTGACAGTTGGCAACGACCACGAGTTCGACGACGCAGACTTGTACGCCAGCTTATACTTCGAGCCCGTAAGATGCGTCTCGTATGTGTTGGCATCGACTTTCTTGACATGCTGCGACCGTAGGCCAGTCAGTCATTGCTATCCCGCCATCACACAACCTACCTGATGACCAACAATCAACCAGTGGTACTCGGTTCCCACTGGCGCACCACTCCCCGCGGGCGCATTCCTCGCTCGTCGTTTGTTCGTCTGGTAATCGATCCTCCACAGATCCGGCTCCTCTTTGGTCTCGTTCCATGTTCCGGGGTCGTACGTCCAGGTGTGGGATCCTCCAACCGCCATGCCCGAGTACATCTGGCCTTTGTGCGACTTGAGCGCGTTGTACCCTCCTGCTGCTGCGGCGTATTGGGCTGGCTTTTGGGTGGTGTTGTGGTTAGTGGTGGTTTCTGTTTCCGAGGGTAGTTTTTCATCTTCGTCTGAAGGCCAGGAAGGGGGTGAGTCCACGTGAGAGATTGATGGTTCTGGTTCTTCTTTGGGTTCCTCGTGGGTTGAAGTTTGCGTGCTAGGTATCTCCTCTGTAGGAACGACATTCTTCTCGGATGGAGGTGGAGACGCGAGCTTCTGTGCCGCCGGGGGATTCTTTCTGGCACGTTTCGTAGGCATGGCTATGATGGATGGACATTGTGGCTATGGCAGGTAGGCCACGAGAACGATGCAATGGCTGGTGGTGGTGCTGGGGAAGAATGCTGGGGGCGGAGTTGCAGACGAGTCATGGGATGACGTCATGGCGAGCACAGTTGCCCGTGACTGGCTCGTGACTTGCTTGCTGGTCGCTCAATTCCATCCCCGACACAGTATCAACTATCTAACTACTATCGACTATTGACAACTGCGTACACCAGACACAACACAACGTTCATTACATCCACCGTTATCACATTCTATTTATAATCCCGCTGATCGATGCGCTCGTTGCGTTGCACATGGATCGCCTGAGACCCGTACCTATTTGATAAGCTGATCTGCCATCATCCCCGCCATTTGTATGGACACAGCCTAGAACGATGGAGCAGGCCACATCAGCTTACTGGAGACTCGACACAGCTTCAACCCCCGCCACTGCACCGGATGCGCGGCTGCAGAAACGACCCATGGATCGCTTTGAGCACGACGTCATGCTCTCTCCAATTCGCCCTCATCGGGACGGGCGGGAGGGTCCGAAGGGACTCCATAGTGGAGTCGAGGGATAGATAGATAGTATGTAGTATACTGTGGATGATATCGATGACTATTGATCGGACCAGCTGCGAACGAACAACCCAACCCAAGCGCCACGCAGGCATCACACTTACAACCTTCGGTATGACGGACGAACCATGGCGAATTCCTTCCCCCCCGCCAGCCCCGTCAATCAGAGGGTCCGACAACCCATCACAAGTCACAACATCTTCCTCCCGGGCACACGGCGTATATGGATCCCCTGCCCTTGCTCACTCGTACTCACTCAGGCTGGGGCGCCACCCCAACCCCCGCGTGTTCTGGTGATTCTGGCAAGTAATTTGGCTTTTTCCTTTTGCCTGTGATGCGGAACTGGCGGCATTGCGACTGGTCGGTGGATGGGTAGTCTCATCATCCAGAACTCAAAATCTCCAATAAATATGCCCGTTCTTCCCCGGACGTCAGCGGCGCCTAAATTCCTTCGTTCAGCAAAATTTTTTCTTTCAGGGCCTCCCTCTCTCTCTCTCTGTCAGCTCAACCGCTCTGACGCAGAAGACCGCTTGACATCCCTGCCTGGCGCATACTTGAAACCGTGCCCAGCGAATCGGCATCACCCGCTACTGCACCATCCGTGCCTTTTTCATCTTCGCTCTCGTTCTTCTCCTCCTTTGTCCCTTTTATCCCAGTCGTTTACCCCTCTGTTCTCCTCTCGCGGCCCCATCCACTCTCCATCTTTACGGAAGATATATCCGCCGCAGCAAAAGAAACGCGGAACGCTCCGAAGCAATCAATAAGCCCACCAAAAAGATCCGCAACCGACCCCAAATCTGAGTCACCTCCGTCCAAAGATGCGCGACATGTCGTCCAAATTCATCGAGATCATTGACCTCAACGATACTCGTCCACGCATCTCAGACTGCGATGTCCGTCTCGAAGACGTCCTCGCCGACCACGAAGCCTTCGTCACCCGACCGCGCTCCTCCACTCAATCCTCCTCAAAGCCCAGTCTAGACAAAGACCGTCTAGACCGCGAGCAACCCAACTCTCCCACACAACGCTGGAAACGTCTCAGCACGATGCTCGTCCCAGCCAGAAGAGGCTCCGCTTGATACCTCCTCTTCCTCCTCCTTGCATACACTACACACGGTCCTGGCGACCGTCGAACACGCACACACTACACCAAAAGAATTTCGAAAACGAAACCCACCACGAAACGACACGAAGATACGCACATTATATGGGAGTTCCATTAGATACGGATAAACACTTTACATTCTTAAGCTGGACTGAAATGGATTGGGTTTGGTATGATTTGGCTTGGTTTCATCGTCCCTTAGCGACGGAGTAGATTAGGCAGATTCAATTTGAATAAAATCTGGGCACCCTTTTTTCTTTCTCCTCTTTCACATGAATATTCTTCCCGCCTTTCTTAGAAATTACGAACACAATATGCATATGTTCATTGATTAATTGATGATACCCAATCGCAACATACCTGGATAAGTAATAAAGCGAGAGAGAAATGGACGTGTACTTACGCGGAATTGACCTCATCCATCAACCCACCTACCCACCCTTCTTTTTTTTTTCTACTATGTAATATTGTATTGATGCCTAACATTGACATCATACCCCCCACCCCGTTCCCCAGAAATCAAGCTACGTTCGATACCCGTTATCTTAGCAGCTAAGCAGCACTCCCCTTAGTCTATCTATTAATCAACCGTGATTGGTCCCGAGGATTGTATTGGATTTGGGTGCTGACGCAAGGTGATGGCGTAACCGACTACCAATTCATCCAATTTACCTACCCAACGTCACGTATATGTCGGATTGGGGGATTAAATCTGTTTAGATGGTTTACTTGGTTGTGTATTGGCGGGACGATGCTCGTTTTGTCTTTCATGAAGCCGGAGTGGGGGTTGGATAGATACAAAGTGGGATTTAAGGGTTAGTCAGGGTCCTATTTGTGATTTATGGGTTGTGGTTCTGGAACAGGATACGGTATGGTGTCGGCTGTTGGGTTTAGGATGGGTGGTGGTTTGGTTGTTCCAGGAAGATGATAAGGGATCGTTGGCTTGGGTGAGTGGAGGAGCCGTGGAGGTGTAGGTGTGGGTGCATGTGTAGATCTTTTCGCCGTTGACGTAAATGTTGGTACTGTGTAGTGGCACGTGGGTGGTGGGGTCTCTGAATGTTTGATGAGAGTGCAGTTTGATTTGCTGAGAAGGGATGACATGTGGTTCACCATGTGGTCGGTCGAGTTCCTGCTGCTGATATTTGCAATCCGGTTGTCGTTTGTCTGGTCAAGGTTGAGAGGGTTTGAGTGCTTCGTAGTGGCAAGGCTGATCGACGACACATCTGATGACGAAGATAGTTCGTGTTATCCCTATTGGATAGAGTATCAAGGTCATGGTGCATATTTCTGGAGCTGTACGCGCGGCGCAGGCCCTGGTTGTCTGCTATTTGGTCCACGCGGATGGTGTAGATCTTTGTCGTGTGTCGTGACAGATATACCCGGGCATTGAAGACTTGTATACCTGGCTCCAGTGAGGTCGGATTCGGGTAGATCTTCAAGTGGTAGGTGGAAAGTCTGCAGGATGAATTCCGTGGTGCTTCGCAAGACATCGAGGGGTAGGCTTTCTGGGCTTGGAGATGGCGTGTTGCAAATCTGGAGTCATAGCAACTTCTGAGTATTTGTTGCCGTCACCTAGTGTCTCGTTGCAATGTTAACACGGGTTCGTGACTCTGAATAACTAGGAATAAACACCAGGGGAATCACACTTCACAGGCCAGTTGCTTATCGAACCTCCCATTCAACGAAGTATGCGATATTTGGAACGATGATGGTTGTCTCTCGCCAGACATCCCGCTGAGAACCGGTTTTGAGATTGCGGGGGCATTCTCTGCAGATGCAGAATCAGTCCCGATAGCCACGAATAGCTCGTGGTATAGCTCGAAACAATGTGAGATCGAGAGTTCTGCTCCTGCTGTGTCGCACAGTAATCCAGATGTTGGTCGTGACGGTGAAAATGATCCAATGCCGGTGACCTCGAACGTCTCCTGGAAATAAGTGAGGAACAAAGAAGAAACAATATCCAAACCCTTTCGCTTTTTCTGGTCCCCTGATTCCTATTGTAAATTCAAAATTGCTGAGAAAGCAGCCTACATTTCCCTTCATGCATTAAATAGTGGTGGTATTCTCGGTGCTTGCAGGCCATCACTTTTTCCATAATCAATGGAAGGCAATGCATTCACTCATTGTCGTACCCAATTGTCATTCTTGGCATCGAGATCCATGCAAGCAATCATGCCGTGCAGAACGATGAAAGGCATCCCTCGGGCATCATGTCTAGGTAAAAATCTCCCTAGATCCTGCCTCTTCCAAGCCTAAACCCACTTTGCCTATGCTCCCGCCGGATTGAAGAATCTCATGTCCTTCCTTGACACCTTCGAGTGTCAATCTCAGTCGCTTCGTCAGATGACACTTGATCTTGCCTGCATCAAGCAAGGCTGCAAGTTCTTCCAGAATGCGATGATGCGATTCGATGTCTACCTGGTGGTATGGCTTTGTTCCAAGCAGGCACCAGGTAAATGTCAATGACTTGGACATGAAAGCCGTTCCATACATCTTAGCTTGCCCTTGAACGATGGAGCAGACTTTGCCGAACGGTGCGCAAACCCGAGCACATGTGTCCATATAGTTATCTGTTGAATGTGTGATGAAAATGTACCTGAGATGTTATTAGCGGAGATTTTTAACATTTGAGGATATCTTACTTCAGTGGTAAATCGATGCCCAGCTTCTCAATCTGACTAGAGACATCCTCTCGGTGGTTGACAACGTGAGTTGCACCCATGTCTCTCGTGAACTGGACCGTCTCCGGTCTGGATGCTGTGGTAATGACCACTGGAAGGCCAAGTACAACGCGTGCAATTTGAGTGGCCATGGCACCGACTCCACCAGCGCCGTTAATTATGAGTAGTGCTGCTTGTTCTCCCTTTTCAATCTCTAGCCGTTCAACAAGTGCCTCGTATGCCGTGATGTATGTCAAGGGCATGGCAGCTGACTCGACAAAGTCAAGACTCTTCGGTTTATGACCAACGCTCCTCTCATCTACCAACTGGTACTCGGCATTCGACCCCTGACGAATTGGGCTTCCTGAGTAGAACACCTCATCTCCGAGTTTGAAGATTGAGCATTCTGACCCAGTAGCCTCGACAGTGCCTGCTGCATCGTATCCAGGGATCTGGAGTGGACGAGGAACACGGTCATAGTAATCTGCAAATGTCAACCCATCTGACCCTCCTGTACCGGAAGCATCTAGTGTCTTACCAGGATAATCATCGTACGTCCCGTTCCGTACCTTTGTGTCCACGGGGTTCACGGAGACCCCTTTGATCCTGTCCATAGTTCTCAGTAAATGCTAAATCCGGACCATAGGAGGCATTCGCACCGGACGAGCAGATCCCGGGGTTGGAGATCTGACGGCTTTGAGACCTCCCGAGCCTCAAGACGGTCGACTGGGCCGTAATACTCAACACCGATTGCCTTCATTCTCGAGAGTATTCAGAGAAGTTGTCCAATCTTGAGTGATCTGCCTTCTGACCCAGTGGCTTTCGTAAATAAACATAGAGGTCGGGTATTATGGATATGACAATGATAGACTCGACCATGTTAAATAACATCTGGTAACGAGTTACGTCACTGGAACGTCAAGTCGATGAAGGTTCAGTAGACTTTGAAACGTCTCTATAGCTTCGTCATGTTCCCCCTTGGAGCTCAATGATGAAAATTATACGATCAAGCGAAAGAGAAAGAGAAAGCTTCGCGCATCACCGGACAAGGCATTTCTCCCGGCAGACCTCGCTGCTGGCCTGCGGCAAGGAGTTGTCCTTCGGAGATGTTTTCCGACAGCAGCAATCAAACGCAATAAAAATAACGAGTGGACACCCCCATAACAAACTCAATCGTATTAGCCTCAGATCCCAATTTCAAGTCAATGTCACATATCCACACGACATGCATCCATCTTCCTTGCGAGATGCATAACTGACAACGCTATCGATAACGCGGGCGGCCATGAAGGCGGTCTGATCCATTATGCCGGCACAATCGCCCGACCATGCCGAATCCAGCCTGCCAGGCACCGCCCCGCCTCGAGCCAGCAGCAACAATCAACAGCATTCAACACGCGCACCATCGCTCTAATACAAAGTGGGCTTAAGCCAACAAGGCTGCAGAACCACATTCAATTCGTTTATTTTAAGTACTGCCGATCCTTCTAGTCGGTGCTTGGACCTCAAGCGTCACCATGTCGACGACTCCGGCCCCCAAAAACAGAGCGTCCAGCCCAACGGTGTTCGAGCAGCAGCGGGCAGAATTCGTGCGGGAGATTGCGGTGGTTAGTACTTGCGGTCTTTTACATGAGTGCAATACAATACTCATTAAATAATCCCACGATAGGGCATGGAGCAAGTCCTCCAAAACATCAACCGGCTGAATCGGAACCTAGAGAGCATTATCTCTGTAAGTTCCCCACTCTCCGTTCTTTTCCGGGTCGATTTAATTAATCCCGCTGCAGGTGGGAAATGAATTCGGCTCCGTCGAGGCTCTGTGGTCGCAGTTCGAAAATTTCATGGGCCAGCCTGGAGACGAGACCGAGGCTCAGGATCGGCAAAAAGGTGCCCATCCGGATGAGGATCATAGCCAGCTTCATGAACAGGAGCTGGGAGATGGCGAGGACAGGTGAATTCACGGCTATTCTTGAATTAGGTGCTTGGCGTATGTTAGAGGTGTCTCTTTTTTTCTCCATTGTTTATCTCTACACTTTACTGCGGTTGCTATCGGAAATCGGGATACCAAACGAGGAATGACAGAAATATAAGATTGACAAGTTCAATAAGCAAGTACACGGGATTTTCGCTTGCGCCAATAAACACCCATCCCATGCATGGTAAAGAATGGCCAGCGGGCCAGATTCGTGACAGACATCAAGCATTGAGACAAAAGGGCAAAATCGCCAGATCAAGGGCGCGGGGTGAAATGGTAAGAGTAATGGTGATCGAAGAAAACAGTCATCAAGGCCAAACAGGTATAGCAACATGGGGAAGCAAAACAAGCACAAAGCCGCCAGCATGTATAGAAAGGGGTTAAGGACAACACAAGCGACACGGGCGGAGCGTGCCGGTGCTCGTCGCGTTCATGGCCACGTTGTCATGTCATGTCATGTCACATACAAGGGAGATAGGGGGAACCGTCAAAGCAACCAGGCTTTTCACTCGGTATAACAGGGATAGGGAGAAAAAGCAGACATCTCAAGGAAAATATAGGGGGAACCAAAAGGGGCAGATGATCATGACCAGACAAACATCAACGGTGGGACCAGAGTCTACAAAATCTTGCAGGTACGCTTTTTGACCTTCTTTCCGCCGCCGCCACCACCACCAGTGGTTCGAGGTTTGCTGCCGGGTGTACTAGTTGTCTGGCGGTCATTCCAGTCTTGCTCCTCGGCAGAGACAACGGTATCGACTGCGAGAGCGAACACCCCGTCGACACCGCGCATTTCTTTGCTGCTGCACTCAACGTAGGATGCGTTCATCCTGCGCGCAACCGCTTCACCTTGCTCGGGTGTCACGGGCGTAAGGCCCTGAGTCTTTAGAAGCTCAATACACGTTCTCTTGTTGCGCAGATCTGATTTCAAGCCGACCAGGATAAGTGGGGTGGTCGGACAAAAGTGCAAAACTTCGGGGTACCACTGCGCCAAGTATCAGCGACTGCATGTTGCTGCGGGGTAGAGCGGAAATACCTTGTCCATAACGTTCTCCAAGGACGCAGGACAGTCTATAGCAAAGCAAACAAACAGGAGGTCCGTTTCCGGATATGAAAGTGGACGCAGCCGGTCGTATTCTTCCTGACCAGCAGTATCCCAGAGAGCTAGCTCGACCGTTTTACCCGAGGCTCGGTGTGTGGTTTGCGTGATGTAGTTCTCGAATACCGTAGGAACATATTTCTGGAGAAGAAAGAGTGAGTTGGGCACTCAGCACGAGAACAATAACACTGCGGTGGACGAGCACCTACCTCGGGGAAATAACCTTGGGAATAACTGATTAAAAGGCAAGTCTTTCCACATCCACCGTCGCCCACCACCACGAACTTTTTGGAATAAGCGGGAGGATGGGTGATGTTTGTGGCCTCCGACATTCTCCCACTCGACACACTTGTATTTGTGCTCGCTGTGCCGTTGCTGACTCTAACACTTTGACTGCGTGTCCGACTATGTCGCGGTGTCATAGACGGAGGGGGGGTAGCAACTGAATGACGCCGTGAGGGTGCATAAACGTGCTCATCGTACATGGTACCTGACATGCTGCCGGAGTAGGAGAATTTCGAGGAATGTGGTATACAACAATTCCGGAAGGAGGTGGGAATTGTCGGTCAGGCAATGCGGACGGGGAATAATTGCTGCTCGGTGATCCACAGTCTCGTCCCAAGTGTGGCGGAAGGTTCTCGATCGATGTCCTCGGCGATTTCTTCGTTCTCTTAGGAATGTCGATGTAAAGTGGTTTTGCCGTTCAGAGGATTCCGGGGGGGAGAGAGATAAGAAGGAGTTAGAAAACACAACACGCCAAACCAGCACGAAGAAGTCCAAAGAAGAAAGGGATGTCAGGCTCGAGATACTAGTTTCTCCACGATGAGCCCGCCAGCCCCATGGCTGCTCCAACAACGAGGCCGTCGTGGCTGACATGAAACCGCAAGACCGATGTTTACCGGCCGATGGGCTGCCATGGCAACGCCGCGGGACAAATGACGCACGAGCTCCGCTTGTCACTTCAGTTCAGCTGCACAGGACATCCGCCCTCCTCCACTGTCATTCGTCTCTCTGCCGGATTGCCCGGTTTATTTTTAGCCATACTCACCAGATTTGCCAGATCTACCAGAGTTGCGAAACCAAGCCGTTCCTTGGTTGTTTACCTCACCGGCCTGCTCGTCTGGAATGCGAATGCCTAGCCGCTGGCCGGCCCAGAACCGGGCTACAGGGGACTACTGTTTAGTAGTCAGCCACCATTCAATCGCCCTTCTCCCTGGAATCGGCCCGATCCTCGAATCAGCTTGGCCGTTGGGGCCAGGGTTGGTCTCCATGATCGAGAATCGAACAAGGTTTCTCTCCTGATAGATCCCTTGCAGGCCCGTGCTAGACAGTCTTTGTACTATTAGTTTGTCCAGGTCCCTGAAACACAGCCCTCCGGTGGACTTGGGAACACGAGCCGATACTGACGTAATCTTCCTCAGACTTGGTCTTTGCCCGAGCTCGTTCTTGTTCCTGCCGACGTCCGGGAGTTGGAGTTTACTCGGCAATGTAGCCTTGCTCGTGGTGACTATACATTCGGTGTGGAACTACTATGTATCACTAGGCAATTTAGATGATCTCGATTTGCTTTTTTTTATCTCGTCAAAAATGCGTCCATAGAAGTCTTTACTCAATTCATTGTATTGCCACATAACCTCGAGAGAAAAAAATATATATATATATAGTGGCCTGAGGGGGTTAGTAGTTAGGCCTTTATAACTGGTACCATGCAATCAGGAAAGATAGTAAACCATTATTTATAGTTTTTAACTGAATATTATTAATAGTGTTTCTATATATAAAGACTGGGAGATTATTCCTGCTTTAAACCACAGCAGCTATAGATAATCGGTAATTAAAGCTATTTGTGACCCTGTTATATATATCAAAACAGTAAGAGGATCTGTATAGGTTAGTGTTAGTTTATTTTAGCACAGATACCCAGACAAAAGCCACATATCCGAAAGCAGAAACCGCGGGTGTTTTGGTATATTTCTTACTCATTGATCTACCTGATCTTTTAACAAGCCGTCAATCACTGATTACCCCGCCATGATATGTACCAATGAACCAGAAAGTAGAGGGTCACTGAAAGTAATTAGGTAAGGGGAATGCCCGAGCTCCCCAGAGATCGAGGTTCCAGCTCTGGCTGGGCCTCACTTGATTCAGGATTTTAGTTTTTTTTGCTTTCTCCCGGTGGTAGGATGATTGAAAGGGTTTCCAGCAGACTTAGTATTGGTAGCGGGGTAGGTGTCCGGTTGTTCGCTTCGCTTTGATGATGATTTTGGGCCCTTTCCAGCGTGGTAATCACAAGTAGAGTTGTAGGGTTAAGAACTGCGAGAATTTCTCGGAACACTGCCGCATTAATGTTCGACGCGTCGAGGGACACCCGGTTCATGCAAAGGAACTGAATCCTGTAAATAAAACATCCTATGTGGAGTAAATTAAAATTTTAATCAAGAAATAGATATTAGGTTGAAGTACTGTTTGTTTAGGGTGAAAGGGCAGAAAATCCAGTCCAAAAAAAAACATGTTATCATAGTATCTTATAAACATCAAATTTTAGGTTGGGAAAAGCGAGTATCTCTAATTGATTCCAACGTTGTGTGCCGTGGTCAAGGAGGGTAAAGAGGGGGTGTTGGGCGGAAAAATTCGATTATGGCCTCAACTTGAGTTATCAGGACCATCATGTGACAATCCTCTTCTATGATTTGGTTTGGTTACGTCAGCATTCACAATTCCAGCCGTCCCTGAGACAACCACCACCTACTGTCGATACCTAATTTTTGAGATTTCTCCCTTACCACTGATCTATTTGGGTCAGACTGTATCCCAGCTCACTTGTCAGCTCTCTAGGTATAGTTCAGCACCAAGAAGCATATCGGGAAGCCATATTGCAACAAGCTGGTCCTCCAGCCACCCACCGTACGCGACCACGCGATCCAAATCGGAGCGGACGTACGCGCCTTGAGGGAGTACTAGTTAACTCGCTATGCAAGAACAGAGCACAAACTGTAATATGATCGAACCGCTCCTTGAGAGTATCAATACCTACCTTCAGAAGAACGGTCTTGGCTGTCAGTTGGCCCATTCCACTAATGAAATTCAAAATGCTGGGGCTGAACATATCGGGGCAAGGGCCAGTGGCTGGTGCCAGTTTTTAAGCAACGGTGTGGCTGGGGTGAATTGTGCGTCGTCGACGACCAAAGTCTCAGTTACCCGTCACTTGCAGGGTCATTATTGAGGCCGTCACCATCTACTCAACAGTATAAAATCATCATAGATTATTCAAGCCATTTCCATGGCGCCTCTGAAAACTCTGAGAAGAGTTATAACAGCGACACTACCCCGATTTCATCGCATGCTCCTTTCCGCTTCCCCCTGGAGAATCTCCAAACCTCCCCATCCCGGCAAGTTCGTCAAGATAAATTTGCTTGGTTTTTACTGAGTTTGTCTTTTCAAGGTATGATCCACTCAAATCAACATAGAGACGACACTCTCTTTTCTTATACCTCTGGACGCTGGCTATGGGACGAAGCAGCCCAGCTTCGTAAACGGTACCAGCCCTTCAATGTCGAGGAACTCAAACAAATAGCGGCCAGATCAGTTAATGCGAACTTCTGCGTCAAAATAACGAAATTACCCGAAGGCTCATACAACAAAGCCTTTCTATTGACAATGGATAATGACGTCCAGGTCATTGCGAAAATCCCCAATCCTTACATCCCTCAGAAATTCGTTACCGCCAGTGAAGTTGCCACGCTTAAATTTCTTCGTAACGAGCTAGGTATACCTGTCCCGCGAGTCTTTGCTTGGAGCAGCAAGAAAGACCAGCATGTGGGAGTCGAATACATCATAATGGAAAAAGCTGCTGGCAATGAGTTGAGGAAAAGTTGGCCCACTATGGACATATCGGATAAGGTGGACATTGTGTCTCAGTTGGCCAATATTCAAGCCAAAATAGCCGCTGTCGACTTCGGTTGTTATGGAAGCTTGTTCTATAGAGAGGATATTGAGGGTGGCATTAATGTCCCTGGAATACCCGATCAGTTTTGCATCGGCCCCAGCTGTGATATACGATTTTGGGAAGAGGAGAGAAGATTCATGAGCGCTTTTAGGGGCCCTTGTAAGCCAACACCTAACCATAATTTTGGGGCTCCAACTAATACGAGACCGAGCAAAATTAGGGTCGTCATCTGGGGCATATGCGATAGATATCGCCAGGCGAGAGAAAGAATGGATCACCCGGTTTGCAAATCCTCGTCATCCGGCAGACCCCTTGAGACAGTCAGATAGCCAAGAGTCTCCTGATTGTCACATTAAACTCCTCGACAAGTATCTGGAAGTTGTGCCTCATTTGATACCATCAGATCCAGGTCAAAATCGGTCTGTGCTTTGGCACTCTGATTTACACTTTGGGAATATATTTGTAAAGGAAAATCAGATTGTCAGCATCATTGATTGGCAGGGCTGCTCCAGTCTTCCCGTTTTTCACGCCTGCAGGATACCGAAATTCCTGAAGATTCATGGGCCCTTGCTTTTCGATCTTCCGTCAGCCACGGGCCTCACGCCAGAAGAAAAAGAGGAAAATTTGCAGAGATACCAGCTTACACAACTACAGAGGCTCTATATTTCCAAATTCTGCGAAATTAACAATGACGTCTTCTCTGCTCTGTCGTTTCCTCAAGCTTTAACGCGACAGCAGCTCATCGATTTTTCAGGGTACACGTGGGATGACGATGGATTGTTTTTGTTTCGAGAGATGATGCTTCGAACATGGCGCGAATGGATGGAATTAACTGGCCAGCCACAGTCCTCTTGTCCCGTAACATTCGGCGCCGATGAGCTTGCGTCTCATGTTGCCGAAGGGAAGAGCTGGGAAGATCGTAGGGAGCTCTTCGGCGCCCTTGGAGTCCCCATTGACGGCTGGGTACATCTTGAAGACTTCGAGGCAAAAGTGGAAACAATGCGTAATCTAGTGAGTTCGGTCATAGACGCCACGGATGACAAGGATGGCGTAAAAGACGCACTAAGAGCTTGGAAACTGTCGGAGTCGGGGCCTGCCAGCCTATCGGGTAATCTGATGGATATCTAGAGGATGTTTCCTGAAGTGCATCCCTCTAGAATACTGATGAGCAGTTTCATTGTCCTCTTCATGCTATACACTGGTCATGCGAGTTACCCCGCACCGTGACCTGCTTCTATCAGGTGATGTAGACAATTTTCAGTCAGGCTTACTATAAAGGTGCCTCCCGTGGCACTTTAGAACTGTTGTAGCCAGATCCTATTGCTATCTGACTGTCAAACCCCAAAACAGTGAGTCTACAAACCAATCGACGTTAGCATTGGCTCTAAACCTTACAGAAAGACCATTCCAATATCATGTCGATTCCGAAAAAGGTGTTAGAGAAATTCATTCAGAATTTCAACATACCTAAAGCAAAATCGAAACTTTCCGCCGAAAATGCTGGAGGAAGGCTCTTTCCGTCGAGAAATACCAAAAACAATGCAGCATCCAATTTTCGAGCCGATCAAGGGTCTCCGTACACAAATGACCCTAACACCTTCTCAGTCAACGTGCAAGCAAACGCGAACCTCAAATACCTCTGTCAAAAGATTCGCACAAAAAAATCCAGACAAGAAACTCTTCGCATTTCCTATGAAGA